ACCATGCCCAGGGCCTCGTGCCCTTCCACACAGCTCCTGCTGTCCCCGTTGGAGGAGCAGGGCTGGCCTCTCTGGCTGTGTGAGGGGCTGGGCCTTGCTTCCTTGCAGCCTTCTTTGTGAGCCCTTCTGGGAAGAGCGTTTGGAGAGATGAACTTCCCACCTCGGCTGCTCCATCCGCGGGGGAATCGGCCCGTGTTTATTTTCCATCTGTGCTTGCAGCAGCTCGCAGGGATCACCTGGCAGGAGCAGCCATCCAAAACCAACACGGGAACCAGCCCTGCAGAAAAGCTTCCCAGCACCGGCGGGGGAAGCTGGGGCAGGAACACGGAGCCAGACAAAAAAGCACAAAATTCCCCGGGGCTGGCTTGTTTTCCACCCTGTGCTTCCCCTCCCGGCTAGGTGTGCTTCCTCCTGGCCCAGCTGCCTCAGCTGCAGGGAAGTGTCCCTGTGCTGGGCTCCTGGGGGGCTGTGCCAAGAGGAGCTGGCCTCAGTGTTTTCCCTGGATTGGTTCTCCATGGCCTGCCCTGCTCTGTCACTGTAGCAGCCCAGGGGATCCTTGATTTAAGGCTGGGGCTCTCCTGGCCAGCCAGGCTGACCTTGCTGCAGGGATGAATCAGCAGGAGATGCCAGCCTGGAGCAGCCTGGGAAGAGCCTCTGGCTCTGGGCTGGGATGTGCCTGTGTCTGACTGCAGCTCTGAGCTGTGCAGGGCGGGAGCAGTTCTGCTGCTAGAAGGTGAACCTGGCCTGCCCTGACAGTGCTCAGTGCTTTGGGGAGCCTTTGGGGGGGAGCATCTGAAGTGGAAGTGCTGCAGAAATGCTCCAGCTGTGTCTCCTCCCCTGGTGCATCCCTGAACCCCAGAGGTCACCAAGGACTTCACTCCCCCAGGAAACTCCCTGCTGGCAAAGCACTGGGACCAGCCTGAGAGGGAAACTGGAGCTCCTGGTGCCCAGGGTGTGCTGAGCAGGGCTGCTGGGGCACAGCAGGTCCAGCTGAGCTGGAGCTTGGAGGAGAATGCTGGGCACCCCAGCCAGAGCCATCAGAGGGCAAAGGTGGTCCTCCATGGAATAACCAATGTCCTCCTGGAATAACCCATGTCCTCCTGGAATAACCCATGTCCTCCTGGAATAACCCATGTTCTCCTTGGGAATAACCCATGTCCTCCTGGAATAACCCATGTCCTCCTGGAATAACCCATGTTCTCCTTGGGAATAACCCATGTTCTCCTTGGGAATAACCCATGTTCTCCTTGGGAATAACCCATGTCCTCCTGGAATAACCCATGTTCTCCTTGGAATAATCCATGTTCTCCCTGGAATAACCCATGTTCTCCTTGGGAATAACCTATGTTCTCCTTGGAAATAACCCATGTTCTCCTTGGGAATAACCCATGTTCTCCTTGGGAATAACCCATGTTCTCCTTGGAATAACCCATGTTCTCCTTGGGAATAACCCATGTCCTCCTGGAATAACCCATGTCCTCCTGGAATAACCCGTGTTCTCCTTGGGAATAATCCATGTTCTCCTTGGGAATAACCCATTTTCTCCTTGGGAAAAACCCATGTTCTCCTTGGAATAATCCATGTTCTCCCTGTAATAATCCATGTTCTCCTTGGGAATAACCCATGTCCTCCTGGAATAAACCCATGTCCTCCTGGAATAACCCATGTCCTCCTGGAATAACCCATGTTCTCCTGGAATAACCCATGTTCTCCTTGGGAATAACCCATGTCCTCCTGGACACTGCATTTTAATTGAAATTCTGTAACCTGCAAAGGCTGTGTGGGGCTGGGACCCCTGCAAACCTCGGGAGGGTCCCTCAGAGCGGGTGGCTGGAGGTGAGTGCCTTGTCCTGGGTGTCCTGTGCAGCCAGGGGCTGGATCCCAGTGTGGCCTCCAAACCCCCAGGGAGCAGATCCCTGTGGATCCCTGGGGCTGGATGTGCTTGGCACAGCTCCCTGCCTCCCCCTGCTCCAGAGCTGACTGATGTAACCCAGTTCTGCTCCTTCAGACCTGGAAAAGGGATTTCATGTTTGTTTTCCAGGGGTGTTGTCTATTCCCATAAAAAACATCGTGTCCCTCTCCAAGATGGGACCTGGGGTGGCCCCAGTCAGAAACCCCCTCCCAGCATCCCCCCGAGGGCAGCTCCTGGAAGGGATTTGGGAAAGCAAGGGCTGTGGGAGGGGGTTCCTGGTGGAAAGCTGCTGTGGGAGTTGGTGTGCTGCTGCCTGGCACTTGCTCCCTCCCTGATCCCGCTGTCCTGCTGCATCCCAGGAGTTTGCACCTCCTGTTTCCACTGGGGCTGATTCATAAAAAACCCAAGCACAGCACATGGAGCAGCTGAATCCTCCCAAACCCTCGTCCTGTGCCATAAACTGGGAGCTTAGCCTAAAAATAGCCCCATTGCCTGCTAGAGGTGTAGCCCTGACTGTTGATGAGGTCTTGGGAACCAGAAATAGCTCCCGAGTCCCAGCAGCAGCAGAGGTTTTGCCTTGAACAGCTGCTTTTTGGAGCAGCTCAGGCTCAGCCCTGAATTCCCTTGGATGCTCACAGGGCTGGGGGTGCTGGGGGCACGTCCAGGCAGTTCCAGCCCCTCCTGGGGAGCTCCTGCCTTTCCCTGTGTCCATGCCCCCAGGTTCTCATTTTTTCCATGGGATGATGTAAGGTACACAAAGTCCTTTCAGGAGTTGTTTCTTTTTCCTGTGCAGTGATTCAGCCCCCCAGGCTCTCCCTCCTGAGCTGCTTCCAGCTCCTCATTCAAGTGAGGAATGCACTGGGGGATGTTCCAGGCAGCCTTTTCCCCTCCAGCCCTTTGGGAAGTGTTCTCCTGCTGCTGCTCCCTGCCAGGGGCTCAGCCTCTTCTGGGCTGCCTGCTCTAAGGGGTTAATGCTGCCTTTTTCCATGGATTTTGTTTTATTTTTTCTTGCCTGGCTATTTTCAAGCTGGCAACCTGAGCACTGGAAGTTTTGCAGTGGGCATTGGATGGGAGTGGATTCAGGGACTGAATTCTGTGTCTGTGCCCAGCAAAGTCCCAGGGACTTTGTGTGCTGAAGGACCTGGGTGCTGCCAGCTGTGCACCTGGGACATTTATCAGGGAATGAGGGCATTTTGTGCCCCCTTCATGGCATGCCGGGCTGGTTTGGGTTGGAAGGGGCTGTAAAAGGCATCCAGTCCCACGGGCAGGGACACCTCCCACTGTCCCTGTCCTCCAAGGCCTGGGACACTTCCAGGCTGTGCTGTAGCATTCCCAGGCTTCCCAGCTCCTCCCTTCATCCTTCAGGCTGTGATAACTTCCCTGGCAGAAATTCAGGAACTCCTAGAGGACACAACTCCAGTTTTTTCCTCACCCTGGTGTTTCCACTATGGTCACACCCACCTCCACCCAATCCCATCCCATCCCATCCCATCCCATCCCATCCCATCCCATCCCATCCCATCCCCTTTTCCTTCCCTATTTTTTTTGTTCTCAGTGCCTTCCAGGTGGATGTAAGACACCACTGGGATTTTTATTTTCTGGGAAATTGTTAATGCATGTCAGAAGTGTTTTCACCTCCCATTGCTCCCAGGAAGCACAGCATGGACAAACAGGATCTGTCCTAAGCCTGCAGCTTTCCTTGGGCCTTGTTAAGGGGAATTTTAATCAGAAATTCATGTAATACTTGGATCTGGGTGGGATCAGGGCTGTGGCTGTGCTGGGTTCCTGCTCATCCTGCTGCACCCCTGGGAAGTGGTGCCTGCACTGGCAGAGATGGGCATCCCGTGGGGATGAAGTGATTTTTGGGAAGGAACAGTCCCCTGGTGGCCTCTGTTTGGTGCTGGCCCACTGGAATGTGGGAATGCAGAACCAGGGGGTGGCTCTGGGTGTGTCTGTGCTTTGGTGTCCCCAGTCCCACTTTTCCTCTCTGCTGGCAGGAGTCCAGACCCCTCTGCCGTGCCATTCCAGAGGCTGCTCCATGCCCTGCCAGCTCCCAGGCCATTCCCTAGGGAAGCATCAGCACCTAAAGGGGGGCTGGGGTGTTTTTGCCTTGTGCAGGGAATGGCTTGGAGGCTTTTCCAATGTTCCCCCATTTCCACGGGCAGCTTTGGAGCAAAGCCTGTGTTGTGGGTTTTGTGTGGGGTGGGACAGTGGGAAGCATTCCCAGGAATCCTCTGGAATCAGTGGGAGCTTTGTGCTGGACGTGGCCAATAGCTCCTTCTGGAACCTGCTGTGGGAATGTGGGGATTGCCCCCAGATCAGCAGCCTGGGAAGGGTGGGCTTGTGTTGGCTGTGGCTGGAGCTGCTCAGAGATCTCCTGGGATGCGTCAGCCTTTAAAGCACTCGATCCAAGGACACTTCCAGGCAAGCCTGAGAGTCTTTGCTGGAGTGAGACACACAGGTCTGGCAGGAAGCTGATTGAATGGATGCTGCTGAGTTCCTTTGCCATTCTGGGTCAGTCTCTGCTGAGAGGATCCCTGAGTCACCGGCTCTGGGACATTCAAATCACGAGCACAAGGCGCCGGTGGCTTTGTCTCCTTGCAGACAGCTCCCAGCTTTGCCTGGAGAAGCGCAGTGGTGTCTGGAGGGCTCAGTGAGGTGGTGTTGTCCAGGCTGTTCAGTGGAAGGGCGGCGTTTGGGGTGAGGACAGGGATGGGGATGGAGCTGCAGGTGCACCAGGGAGGGGTCAGTTCTGTGTGCCACCTCTGTGTGGGGTGTTTGCGTCTCTGACTTGGGGTTTAGGTGATATCTGGGACACTTGGGTTAGAATCCCAGCATCACTGAGGTTGGAAAAGCCCTCCTGGATCACTGAGTCCAGTCCCAATGCCCAAAGCACTGAGTGCCACATCCAGGCATTCCTTGGACACCTCCAGGGATGGGGACTCCAAACCTCCCTGTTTTCCAACCCTTTCCCTGGAGAAACTCGTGCTGGATATCCCTGGTGCTTTCTCTCCTCAAAGTTCTGCTTGGCTTGTGGCTCTTGGAGGTGACAGAGTGCCCTTCCCTTGTGTCTCCCCTCTGGCTGCAGGTGGCACAAGCTGCACTCCAAGGCTGGGAAGAAGGAGAAGGAGCGAGGTGAGATCCTGGTGAGCATCCAGTTCACGCGGAACAGCCTGACCGCCAGCATGTTCGACCTGTCCGTGAAGGACAAGGCGCGCTCGCCCTTCGGGAAGCTGAAGGACAAGGTGACGGGCAAGAAGAAGTACGACCTGGAGTCGGCCTCTGCCATCATCCCCAGCAGCATGGGGGCCCTGGACGTGGAGGACGACTTGGAGCTCGGGGGCAAGAGGTCCAAACTCAAGGGCTTCTTCCTGAAGAACAAGCTGCGCAAGTCGTCCCTGACGCAGTCCAGCACGTCCCTGGGCTCCGACAGCACCGTCTCCTCTGCCAGCCTCAGCCTGGCGGCCAACGTGCCCGAGGTGACCAAATCCCCCAGCAGACACGGCAGCCTGTCCGCCGAGCGCTCTGGTAAGAGGATCAGGGATAATCCCCCCAGTGCTCCCCTTGCTTTCCTTGCAAGGACTTCCCTGCAGCTCTGTTAGGCTCTGTTAACTGATTGCTCACCACAGAGCCAGCAATTGGGGAATTGGTTGTTCGGTTCCAGGGGTGTGGAGCGTGGAACCAGGAGTGTGGAATTGGTTATTCCACGCAGCTCTGTTAACTGATTGCTCACCACAGAGCCAGCAATTGGGGAATTGGTTGTTCCGGTTCCAGGAGTGTGGAATGTGGAACCAGAAATGTGGAATTGGTTAGGTTGGAAAAGCCCTCCAGGATCATGGGGTCCAACTGTTCCCTCAGCACTGCCAAGGCCACCACTCACTGTGTCCCCAAGTGCCACAGCCACAGGGCTTTGAAATCCCTCCAGGGATGGGGACTCTGGCCCTGCCCTGGGCAGCTGGGTCAGGGCTGGACAGCCCTTTTAGTGGAGAAATTTTCCCTAAATATCCCCTGGCCCAGCTTGAGGCTGCTCCCTCTGCTCCTGTCCCTGTTCCCTGGAGCAGAGCCCGACCCCCCGGCTGTCCCCTCCTGGCAGGAGCTGTGCAGAGCCACAAGGTCCCCCTGAGCCTCCTGTGCTCCAGGATGTCACTAAGAGATGACATCCTGCACAAACCCCCCGAGACCTGCGTGCTGGCACCGAGGTGTTTGCCAGAACAGGAGGAACATCCCAGATTTTGCTTTTCCATGCCTGAAATCACCACGAGCTCCCAGGATCTGGGGGCTCCTCAGGGCTGTTCCTTCCAGCCCCTGGGAGCAGTCCCTGCCAGGAGGGCCCTGCCTGGGCTGGGCTGGGCTGGGCTGGCAGCTGCTGGCCCTGCCCTGGGTCACTGCTCTCTCTAATGAGCCGCCTCCGGCTCGAAGGCAAAGCCCAAACGGGGCCGGCCCCGGTGATTAAAACAATCTGAGCTCTTGGCACTCCCAGGGCAGTCATTTACAAACAAAAAAGGCCCTTGTAGGGAATTAATTCTCCCTTGGAAACAAATGCATCATTAAATGGTTCAGTTGGCCGAGACAGCACATTGCCAGGTTGGGTGGGAGTCCCCGGGGAGGCCCTGTGGCTTCTGCTGGTGACATTCCTGTGCTGGTTCCATCATCTGAACTGAGCCTTCCAGCCACTGGGAGCTTCCTTTCCCATGGCAGGGGACTGGAACTGGGTGGTCTTTGAGGTCACTTCCAGCCCAAACCATTCCACGATTCTGTGAAGGAAGCAGCATCTCCAGCTGGGGGGGCGAGCAGCTGTCAGGTCCTTTCCTCGGGTTCTCCTCAAGATTTACCCCCAAAAATTGTCAGTAGCCACAAGGCCACAGGATCATGGAATTGTTAAGGTTGGAAAAGATTTTTAAGATGATCAAGCCCATCCTCGAGGCAGTGGGAGGGAGAGGCAGGCACTGGACCCTCCTGGCTCATAGACCCAGCAGTGGCCTGGAGGCATGGCCCCATCATCTCATCATACATCACATGGAAGCTCTCAGACCCTTTAAGGAGCTTCTGCCTCGAGGCAGTGGGAGGGAGAGGCAGGCACTGGACCCTCCTGGCTCATAGACCCAGCAGTGGCCTGGAGGCATGGCCCCATCATCTCATACATCACATGGAAGCTTTCAGACCCTTTAAGGAGCTTCTGAGGAGTTCCTTGCATTTATTATCCAGCTCAGATCCTCTCAGACAATGTGTTTGTCATCTTGCAGAGCCTCCTCTGGGGGTCCTGCCCTGCCCGTGCTCAGTTTTGTGTCCCCCGTGTGGCCGCACGCCAGTGATTCCGAGGATTGACTCCTCATCCCGCGGCAGGGAGAAGGCTGGGTGGCTGCCCAGCTCTCCGTGGTGTGTCCGGGGGGGAAGACAAGGCCGGCCTCACGTGCTGTGTGTTTGCTCCCCGCAGCGAAGGAGCCGCCGGCCTCGCCGAAGCTGAGCCACAAGAGAGCGTTCAGCGACGACGCGTCCCAGCCGAGCGCCGGGCCGGAGCCCCCGCAGAGCCCCCAGGCCGGGCAGAGCCCCCAGGGGAGGAAGGAGCCCCCCTCCCGCTCGTCCCTGTGCATCAACGGCAGCCACGTGTACGGGGAGGAGGCAGCCCCCCTGCACCCACCCACCTCTGCCCCCCTGCCCGTGCCCCGCAGGCACGACGAGCCTTTCGCCTTCGCCCCCCTGCACCCCGAGCCCCACGAGCTGCCCTGGGGGCTGGGCAGCCTGGACAGGGCTCAGCAGAGGGACGAGCCCAGGTTCATCCCGTCCCCCCCGAGCCTGGCCCTGCAGGAAGAGCTCAAGGTGTCCACCAAGGCCGTGACCCTCAGCAACCACCTGGGCAGGGCCAGGATGGAGGAGAGCAGCCGCCTGGAGGGCAAAGCCAGCCCGGCTCCCCCGGGCGTCCCCGCCGAGCCAGCCAAGGACAGAGCGCCCGAGGACACCAGGAAGGAGGACAAGAAAGCCAAGGGAGGCTTCTTCCACCACGGGGGCAAAGGCCAGGGGGACAGAGGGACCCCCGTCCACGCCTCGGCCGCGGGGGATGAGAGGAGTAAGAGCGGCGGCTGGTTTGGCTCCAAGGAGCCCAAAGAGTCCCCTCAGAAACCCAGGTCAGTGCAAGGGGCTGTGGAGGTCCAGGCTGGTGATTCCTGCCCCAAACTCCCGTCTCCAGCGGCTCCTGGGTGCTCCTGGGAGTGCTCAGGCATGGGCAGAGCAAGGGAAATGCTTCCTTGCTCTTAAATGTCTCAAAGGGAAGGGGATTTTCCTGGATCCTCTCCTGGCTTCTGCCAGAAACCACCTCTGCTGGATGTGGGATGTGTTTTGCTCTCAGGGAAGGGAGGGATCCCCTCCATGGAGAGGTTTCCCTCTGCAGAGGTGAGGCTCAGAACACCAAATGGTTCTGTGGCCTCAGAATACAGATTCGTTATCCTTCAAGGAGCTAAAAAAGCTTCCCTGACAGTCAGGCTGGGGTGTGGGATACTGGGATTTGTAATCACATCCTTGTTATGAACCCCACACCCCCCTATAGGGTCTGGTCAGGGGCAGCACTTTGGTTACATGAGATATCATGAATGTTCCCAAAGTAACTAATCCCAACCCTGCTCTTTCCTCTTCCCATCCCACCCAGCCTTCCCTTCTCCCAGTTAAGAATCTCTAACTGTTCTTGCTTTGTGTGGTGATTCATCCCTCCAGATCCTCGGGGTTTGTGGTGTTTGTGCTGTTCCTGTGAGGGATTTATCACCCGTGTCCCCCCCTGGAGCTGAGCTGGCAGTCCAGAGGTCGAGGGTGGTGTCAGTGAGAGGCAGGAAATGGGGTTAAAATCAGCCAGAGAAAACAACCAGCACTCAGAGCTGCTTCAGCCTGCAGCCTTGGTTTATTAGAGGGATTTTCTAATCTGGGCTGACTTTAACCTCCTTTGTTAAGCAGAAGGATTTTGGTTCAGTCTGAGCCTCCTTCAATGAAGAGGGCACTCCTGGTGTGTTCCACATAACCTGGCTCCCACATGGGTTAAACATCCCTCAGCCTGGCTCCAGCCCCAGCCCCAAGATTCCTCCTTTCCACGGGAAGGTGTCGTGCTCGTGGTGGCCTTGAGGCTGCACAGCAGAGCTGGGGACACTGGGACAGGCAGGAGCTGCTCCCCTGGCTCAGGGGCATCAGGAATATCCCATCCCAAAGCCTGGAGCTCAGTCCCACAAAGTCCATCACTGGGAAGGAGCAGGCAGGATGTGAGACAAGTGTGAGGTCTGGGGGCTGCTGTGCTGCATCCCTGGCATTCCCTATCCCTGGAAATGTCCCAGGCCAGGCTGGATGGGGCTTGGAGCACCCTGGGATGGTGGAAGGTCCCCGTCCATGGAGTGGGATGGGCTTTAAGGTCCCTTCCAACCCTCACCATGCTGTGATTCTGGGATTCCCAGGAGACTCCGAGCCCTGGCAGTGGTTTCGTGGCACATCCCAGGGCAGGGTTTGTGCATGAGCTGAAGGACTCCAGGCTCTGCACCCTGTCCTTGGGCAAGGACAGAGTATTCCCACTCAAGATCATTCTTTTAATTTTTCTTTCTAATTTTGGGATAAGAAACCTGCTGGTTAAGGCCTAGAATAAAAATCAAGGCTTCAAAATCCTGCTGTATCCAGGCAGTGACTCCACAAGTGCCTGAGGCAGCCAGGGAAGCAGGAGTGAGATGGGGTGGGATGGGATGGGATGGGATGGGATGGGATGGAGCTGCCCTCAGCATCTCTCTCTGGGGCCTTTTCCTTGGGACATGGGTGAGAAAGCAGCAGGTTTTCCCCTTTTCCTTGGGAATTGGGTGAGAAGGCAGCAGGTTTTTCCCTTTTCCTTGGGAAATGGGTGAGAAGGCAGCAGGTTTTCCCCTTTTCCTTGGGAAATGGGTGAGAAGGCAGCAGGTTTTCCCCTTTTCCTTGGGACATGGGTGAGAAGGCAGCAGGTTTTCCCCTTTTCCTTGGGAAATGGGTGAGAAGGCAGCAGGTTTTCCCCTTTTCCTTGGGAAATGGGTGAGAAGGCAGCAGGTTTTCCCCTCTTGGCAGTCCTGGGAAGGAGGCAGCAGGCCCATGACCCTCTGATTTGCAGGCAGGGATGTCAGGTCCGGCTGGAGTTGAGCTCCTGGTCCATCCAAGCCAGTGGATAATCACCAGGAGTGCCCCTGAGCACTGCTGCTTTCTGACAGCTCCCTGCCTCCCTGGACTCAGCCCCAGATGGTTCCACTCCATGGGTTTGTTTGGTTCTGGCAGTTTAATCTCAGGCTCAGCCAGAGCTGAGCTTTGCTCAGAGCCTTGCTGAGGACTTTGTCCTGTGAGGAGAGACCTGGATGGGATGTGGGGCAGCAGCTCCTCTGGCTGGGGTTTTCTCTCCCAAAAGCAGGAATGGATTCCAAGCAGCACGAGCTGCAGGGAAGGAATTCACAGAGCCCCTTTTGGGTGTTTGGGAACATCTGAGTGGGCTTTAGGTACAGTTTGCAATTGAGAATGGGAAATGATGAGCTTGAACTGCTGGAGCAGGGGGATTGAGAGGAGGAGCTGGGAGGAGTGGCTCCTGGAGGATGGGGAGATGCTGGAGCTGCCTGGCTGGGAAGGGATTCTCCCTCCCAGAGTCCAGGGATTGTCACTGGGACAGCTGAGAACCTTTGGGGAGCATCACAGGAATCATCTGGTGACTGAGCCTGATTTGCTGCAGAAAGGCCCTGTCCATCCTCACAGGGACAGGGTTTGTCTCTGCCCTGCTCTTCCCAGTGCTTCAGTTCTCCTGGCCATTCATTAGGACATCATTGCTCCTTTTAATTATACACAACTGACTTCTCTGATTTCATTTTGCTTCCTTACACTGAACAAGCTCGTGGGCCAAGCTGCTGGTTCAGGTCAAAGCTGTGGGAGAGCTTTTAGGTCTTGGTGGCTTCAAAGTGCCAGAGGGCTGGGTCAGATGGGATCTTGGCAAGGAATTCCTGGCTGGGAGGGTGGGCAGGGGCTGGGCTGGAATTCCCAGAGCAGCTGGGGCTGCCCCTGCATCCCTGGCAGTGCCCCAGGCCAGGCTGGACACTGGGGCTGGGATCCACCTGGGACAGTGGGAGGTGTCCCTGCCATGGCAGGAGTGACACTGGGTGGGATTTAAGGTCCCTTCCCACCCAAACCATTCCAGATTCTGTGGTCTCTGGTATTCTGTGATGTCCATCTGTGGCTGTTCAGTAGCAGTGTCACTCCTAGAGCTGGACTAGCCCTTGCTCTGGAGAGAAGCAGCCTCTGAACTGAGCAGTTTTAAGTCTTGACTTACTTGCAGAAAGGACTTTTCCCCTCCTGCTCTCCTGACTCTGGAAACTTCAGCCTTGTGGCTCCTGCCAGCAGCACCTTGTCACCTGTTTGCCACCCTGGATAGGCCAGGCTTAACCCAGAGCTGAACGTGGTGAGAATGCATCAAAACCAGTCACTTTGCCAGCCCAGGAACCTCAGCCTGTAATTAGTTAAAAGGTCTGTAATTAGAAGGATGGTTTGAGTTTGCCTGCAGCAAAGCCCAGCCTGGCACAGCTCATCTTTACCCACTTGCTCTGCCAAACACACCCTTCCCAAAATAAGGAGCTGCTGCTTTGGGCTGGGTTTAACTGGAGCTTTATAAAGAGGGTTTTGTTGTGTGCTGGGTGGGTTTTGCTGAGCCCTCAGTGTGGGAGCTGGCTCTGCTCTGTCTGTGCTCTCCCTGGGGACAGAACTGGGCATTTCTGCCTTCAGCCCTTATTTACACCCTGTTTTCCCTGATTCTTCTCAGGGAAGCAGGTCCCAAAGGCTCTTCTCATCATCCCTGGCTTTGCTAATCCCTGGAGCTCCAGGCTTTGATTCTGGAGGGGATGGGAGCAGTAGGAAGATGGTGTTTGCTCTTTGGAGGCTGAATAAAAGCCTGGTTGGGGGTTGTTGTTTTGAATGTCAGTGGTTAAGGGTTGTGTGTAAGGAAGAAGCTCAGCAGGTTTATTTGAGGCAAAGCCTGGGGCTGAAACAATCCTTTACATGTTTCCAGGGTTTCCTCCAATGTTATCAGAGCTCTGCAGCTCCTGCTTCCTGTGGAGAATCCTGATGATAAAATGGGGCTGCATCTCAGGCCTGGCAGCAGGAGAAAGAGGAAACTGTGCTCTGTCCTACAAAAACAGAGGCATCAGTTCCATTCTCAGGCTTGGAATGGCTGGAGCAGAGGCCTTGGCCAGGCTGGCAGTGCTGGGATGGAGCATGGAGCCTGGGGCAGCCCCTCCAAAGCCAGCAGGACTCTGGGAGCAGAGCCTGGGAGGCTGCAGCGTTTGAGGAAGAGGGAGATGAAGGCCATGATGTGAAGCAGGGCGTTGTGGCTAACAGGGATGAATCCGTGGGAGCTCTGGCACAGGGATGGTATCCAGGAGAGAGCAGCTCTGCCCTGCCTTGGGGCAGCCCCAGGGATGGAGTGGGATCAGTGTGAGGCTGGAGAATGGCTCTTTGTGCTGCTGAGCCTGCCTTTCCCAGGGATGGACAGCAGGCAGGATGGGGAGCTGGACCCAGAGCTGGCACCAGCTCAGCCCTGGTGAGCTTTGGAGGAGCACAGCCCCACTCCCGCTCCTAAAGGTGGGAATTGGGGGTTCAAGTTGGCATCTCCCTGGGTTCCTACTGCTCAGATTTCTCCTATTTTTTTTTAAATTCCCGTGGTTTTGAGGGCAAATGTCTGTAAAGGAAGATCTGTCCATTTGAATGGGGATGATGGACACGTGAGGCCCAAGGGAAGAGCAAAGTGGTTATTGCACAGATAATTATTATAGATCATTTATGGATTGTTACAGGTGATTTATTATAGAGAAATCCAGCCCTCCCACCTCTGGAATTCCTATTTAAAACTCATTCCCTGACTCCTTCCCTCTGGTGCTCCCACCCTGTACAAAAACGTCCTGGGCTGCTGCTCCCATCCCTTCCCAACCCCCTCCTGCCCGATTCCTGCTCCTGCCGCTGGGAGGAGGTCCCTGCTCCCTGCCAGGCCTGGAGCTGCTGCAGGATGCTCCAGCACCTCCATCCCGTGCTTTTCCACCCGAGGGAGCCGTGTCCGTGGGAAAACGGGCCAGAAGCAGCCTGGCAGTGGCAGAGCCGGCACAGCCCCGGCTCCAGCCCCTGGAGGATTTCCCCTGAGCTCTTCCCTGGGCACATCAGGGCTGCCTCCATGCCTGCCCTTCCCAGGGCCTGCTGTGGCATGGGCTGTTTTCTGCTGCTGCTGCAGAGCCCCCCAGCCTCCTGCAGGGAGGGCAGGCTGGGATCCGGAGGGAGAAACCTCCCTGCACTGAACGAGCTGTTTCCAGTACACTTTTTCCATCAGGGGGTTGCTCAGCAATATTTTATTTCCTTTTTTTTTTTTTTTTTTTATTGCTGCGAGGCTCAAAGGCGTCTGTGAAGTGCTGCCAAACAAATAAATGAGGGCAGGGAGGTACCCGAGATTTATTTTGGCTGGCGGAGCCGTGTGCTGGGAATGGGAGGGAAGGAGGAGCAGGAGGAGGAGGAGGAGGAGGGTGAGTCAGCGTTTTAGTGCTGCACAGAGCTGCTTCCATCAGACAAGTGTAGGCTTCCCTCTAGAGGAACCCGCCGTGCTCCACTCCTGCTTTCACCGAGCACTTCCAGCATCCTGCCTCGGGGGTGGGAAAGGGAGTTTTGGGCTCAGAGCAAGGCTCCTGCCAAAGCCAGGCTGGTGACCCAGCAGGGGTGTTCATCCCAGGGAATGGGGGCTGGTGGCCCAGCAGGGGTGTTCATCCCAGGGAATGGGGGCTGGTGGCCAGGCCGGGGGTGTTCATCCCAGGGAATGGTGGGGGCTGGTGGCCCAGCAGGGGTGTCATCCCAGGGAAAGGGGGGCTGGTGGCCCAGCAGGGGTGTTCATCCCAGGGAATGGGGGCTGGTGGCCCAGCAGGGGTGTTCATCCCAGGGAATGGGGGCTGGTGGCCCAGCAGGGGTGTTCACCCCAAGGAATGGGGTTGAGCAGTGATGCTGCAATTTGAAATCCCAGTGGAAAGTCACAGATTCCTCAGGCTGTGCCAGGGGAAGGTGAGGCTGGATACTGGGAAAATTTCTTCCTGTAAAGGTTTGTCCAGCCCTGGCCCAGCTGCCCAGGGCAGGGGTGGAGTTCCCATCCCTGGAGGGCTTTAAAAGCCCTGTGGATGTGGCACTTGGGGACATGTGTCAGTGGTGGCCTTGGCAGTGCTGGGAGTGGTTGTACTTGATGGTCTCAGAGGGTTTTTCCAACCTAAACATTCCATGCTTCTGCCTGGAATTTGCAGCCAAGAGCCCCTGAACAAACCCCAGTGGGTCCCAGCAGGAATGGGGTTGAGAAGCAGAAATTTCCACAGTGGAGTTGAAGGGGGAAAACGAGAACCCAGCAAAGATGGGTCCAAGTTCTGTCTTTATATATTCAGCCAACATCAGCAGGGCCAGCACCCCACGAGCCCCATCAGGACTTTGCAAGGCCTGCAGGGACAGCACACAGGGAATGGCTCCCACTGGCAAAGGAGAGATTGGGCTGGGATCTTGGCAAGGAATTCCTGGCTGGGAGGGTGGGCAGGGGCTGGGCTGGAATTCCCAGAGCAGCTGTGGCTGCCCCTGGATCCCTGGCAGTGCCCAAGGCCAGGCTGGACACTGGGAGCAGCCTGGGACAGTGGGAGGTGTCCCTGCCATGGCAGGGGTGGGATGGGATGATCCTTAAGGCCCCTTCCCACCCAAACCATTCCATGATGACCTGGGGAATGAGGACAGGATCATCTCAAGGGTGTGAGGTGGCCTTGAAGCTGTTCCTGCACCTGTGCAGGTGGGGATTGGTGCAATTCCAGGTGCCTGGAATTGCTGCTCTGGCATCAGCCCCCCCTGAGGAGGGAACTTCACCCACTCAGCTCCTGGCAGCTGGCACGGTCGTTAGCAGCCAGTGCTCGTTAATCAGTGCAGCTGATTAATGCTCTGCAGCCTTTTAGGGCTGGAGCCCAGCAGAGCTGTGTCAGGTCCTGGCTGCTCTTACTCAGCACAAAGGCTGGATCTGGAGCAGAACGTGGAAGCAGTGCCAGCAGGACAAGCAGAGGTGGGGCAGGGCCATGTGCCCCTTGCAGCCAAGGATCGTGGTGGTTGGACCTTGTCACCTTCCCTTGTCACCTTCCCTTGTCACCTTCCCTTTCCAGCTGGGAAGGAAAATCTGCCATGGTTTGCCCTGTTAAAATCCCTTTGTGGAGGCTGTGAACTGATCCAGCTGAGGGGCCAGGTACTGAGCAGCTGCTCTGCTCTTCTGGGGAGCTCAGGTTCCAGGGGGATTGGGAAAAAGGTCCAACCCTCTGCTGATCTCCAGGCTGGGAATGCCAGGAGAGGTTTCTCTCCACGCAGAGAGTGGCTGCCAGGCTGGAGTGGTTTGTGCCTCAGGCTCCATCAGCTTCTCCCAAAACTTGTGGAGACTTTGCGTGCTCGCCCAGGGCTCACAACCCCTGGGAGGAGCTGAGCTGCAGCTCTGGGGGTGTTCCTGGCTGTTCCCCCAAGCAGGAGAGGACAGGGAGCAGGGCAGGGCTGTGTGGGGACCAGGCTGGGCATGGCCACCACTGCTGCTGTGTGACAGCAGGAGAGGGCACCCACGAGCTGTCTGTGCCCACAGGGAGCTGCAGCTTTGAGTCAGGATGAAGGGCTCCAGGCTTTTCTTTGTCCCTGGGTTGCCAGGTCCCTTCAGTGGTGTCCCGTGGGTGCTGGAGCAGAGCCAGGAGTGTTTCCTGCCCCCAGACTGGCACGGGGGACTTTGGTGGCACGGATGGCTTCAGTGGGCACCTTTCCAGGGAGCTGCTCAGAGCAGGATGCAGGAAGGGGCTGTGCAGCTGCCAGGAGTGGGAGCAGGGGGTGCCCGTGGTGGGGGCATCACCCCTGGGCCGAGGTGCTGCCAGCCCAACGCCCTCCCTGCTTTGGGGCCGACCAGCTGCACCATCACCAGCGTCAGCTCTTGCCTCAAGGTGGCATTTTGTGCTTTAAAATGTGTCTGAGGCGCTTGGTGGGTGCACAATAACATGGAAATAGTTGCCCAAGCAACTTTGTGATCTTGCAGTGCCGCCTGCAATCCCTCCCAGCACCCTGGAAATCCCAGGGTGGAGCCCCAGGGCTGGACATACCCTGGGCACCTTGGCAAAGCAATTCATTTATTCCTTCCTCTTAAACCTCGGTGTGCCCAGAGCTGCTGGTCCACACCCATGTCTCTCCCCAGCCAAGAGGGGAACTCTCTGGAGCTCTCTGGTGCAGGAGGCATCAAGCCCATGGGATCTGTTGTGGGGCAGGGCCAGGTCCCCTGTCCCGGGGATGGGATTGCTCCCAATCCCAGGGGATGGGCCCAGGAGGAGGGAGCCTGGCAGTCAGAGCACCAGAGGGATGTGGGGTGTCCATGCCACACCCCCCTTTGTGATGTGAAAACCTCTGAGCCTGGTGAGCCTCCTCGGGGTGGTGACTCCTCATGGCTGGAGTTGTTCCCAAAGGAAGATCAATGAAATCCCAAAGAGAGGTCCCTCAGTCCTGCTTGGGCAGGCAGCAGGGCGCTGCCAGCCTCACTCGGGGTGAGGTTCTGAATTCCAGGTGTGCTGAGTCCCTTCCACCTTGGGATCCCCTGTGGGGTTTCAGGCATCTTGGGATCTCGGGCAAGGGGCATGTGGGAGGCAGGGCAGAGTCCAGAGTGGGGACAGGGCCCTGTGCTGGCCACCTGCTCCCTCCTGCTGGGCTCTTGTTCCTCAGCCTCCCTCAGCCCCGTCCCTCCCGTGCAAGCGTGAGCTCCGTGTGTGCTCCCATCCTGGTCATGCTGGCAAACCAGTCAGGAGGCACTGGGGTGAACTGGGAAGGACTCTGTGTGCCTGCACTGGTTCAGGTGACCCTGATCCAAGAGCCCGGGCTGCTCCTCGTGCTCCACCTGCCCCGGGTGCCAGCAGCACCGGGACAAACTCACCGGGCCAGTCCTCAGGCTGCAGGAGGTGGGGAAACCTCTCCGGCTCCTGGGCGTGCTGAGGCAGAAGGGGAACGTGGAGGAGTGTCCTGGGAGCAGGGCTGCCCCTTCCTGGGTGTCGTGCATGCCCTTTCCACGCCGTGACTCCATAATCATTGCTGTGCCTAACCAGAGCCAGGCATGGATTTGGTCATTGCGCTGCTTTGGTCTGTGGTGTGTGTGGTGTGTGCTTCCAGCCCTGTCACAGCATTAACCAGGAGGACTGTTCTGTCTTCCCTCCACAGCCTGGAAGTGTCTCCTCAGGTAGAAACCAGCTCAGATGCTCCTTCTCATTCTGCTCCCTGCTCCCCTGCCCCGTGCCCCGCCGCCCTTCCCGCTAGCATGCCGAGCTCTAACCTCCCTCCCGCTCCTGGAGACAGACAGGCCGGATGCTTGGCCCTCACCAACCCATTCCTCAACTCCCTGCAGAGCAATCCCTTCTTTGAGGAGCTCCTCGCTGACCAGGTACTAAATTCTCCTTCACCTACTCGCTTTCTCTCTAGTTTCCCGCCCGGGCCGCGTGCTGCACCAGAGGTCGCTGGGAGCTTTTATTCCTCTGAGGATTGCAGTCCCTCTGCCTCCCCAAGGCAGACAGACCCCGAGAGGGAGTCTCCAGCCCAGAGCGTTGGTGTCCCCGTGCCAGAAACCACTCCCCCAGCACCGGGAGAGCTCCCTCCTGCCGACACCGACCCCGCCGTCCCCCCGCTGCCCTCGGAGTGGGACGATACCTTCGATGCCTTTGCCACCAGCAGGCTCAAACCAGAGCGGAAGAAGGAGAACTTCTTTGCCTCGGTGGCAGCAGAGGGCATGGCTTTCATCGATGACCCCGACAGAGCCAGCCCGACGGAGAGCTCAGCGGGGCCGCCCTGCCAGAAGGGCTCCAAAGTGTTCGAAAAGGCCCCTGAAATCCCTGCAGCTCTCCGCTCCTGGACAAATTTCTCCACTTTAGACGTGGGGGCCAACCTGGTGAGCACCACGCAGGAGGCCACGGTGATCGAGGACGTGCTGAGCCCCGTGTCCGCGGGGTCCACGGCCAGGAGGAGGAAAAGCAGCACGCCCACGGCCTGGACAGCCGCGTTTGCCTCGGGCAACCCCGGGGACAGAGAGGCCTCAACAGCACCGAGCACTGAAAGTAGCGCTAGGGAGGAAGGGGACAGCGGCGAGGAGGAGCCCCGCAGCACGGGGACAAACGGCTGGATGACCATAGCCACGGAAACCGCCGCTGAGCCCTCGGGGAGCGCCGGGGAGCGCGCGGCTCCCCAGGGCCCCTTCGGCCCGCGCCCGCCCTTCCTGGCCGAGGGCACCTTCGAAGCCCAGAGCTCGTCCCGTGCCACCGGCTGTGTGCTCCCCAGGAGCTCCTTCCCCCCGGAGCCGGCCCCCGAGGCCCTGCCCGGCGGCACCGTGGCGGCCGTGCCCCCGCGGGTGCTGGGGGACGTGGCGGGGCCAAGGTTCCCCGAGGCGGGCGCGGAGCCCGGGGACGGCCGGGAGGGCGCCTTGGACATCCGCGGCTCGGTGTTCCGGCTGCAGGCCAGCATGCGCCTGGAGGCCAGCGACGGCCTCCTGAAGTTCAGCTCCGACATCCGCGAGAGGCGCGTGGTGCTGGCCCCGTGGGCAGCGCCCCAGGGCCGCCAGGAGCCGCTGCCCGTGCCGCCCCCCAAACCCCCCAGGCGCTTCGCAGCCGCGGGCGCCGGCGAGGAGGAGGAGGAGGAGGCTGGTGGCACGCAAGGCAAACGGGAGCAATGGGAAGACTCAGAGGGCCCGAGAGCAGAGATGGAATTGGGAGGGAGCCGCGGGAGCAGCGAGCCCTCCGTGCCAGCGCCTCCCAGCCTGCCCACACCCGGAGCGGACGCCGCTGAAGCCGGGAGCGAGTTCCCAGCATCTGAGGGTGCCAGGGCTGCTGCTGTGGACTCAGCAGCTGGCTTGGGGACAGGGGACACCTCCGTGGGGGAACACTCGACAGATGTGGCCGAGCAGTTTGAGACTTGCACATCCAAGTTCTCCCTGGATGGACTGGACCAGTCGGGTGCTGAGGAGAGCTGGAGCCAGCCCCGTTTATCTCCTCAGGGGGCCACAGACAGTGCCAAGTGGGAAACGGCCTCCAAGCAGGAGCTGTTCCCTGAGGAGCTCAGTATTTCAGGACTAAACCCACCTTCCAAGCTAGACCTGGGCCAGCCGACCAGCTGGGCAGCTCTGGAAGAGCAGGAGGCAGCTGGGCATCCACACCCGCAGCCCCAAAGGTCAGAATGCAGGCAGAGTCCATCCCAGCTGGAGCTGGCGTGGCAGGATGGTGAGGGGCGAGCAGGAGAGCAGCCCGAGTCCCGTGCCCCTCCCGAGGAGGCAGAGCAGGGCAGGACCCCCGCCTGCAAGGAGCCCGAGGGGCACCGGGCAGAGAGCAGGATAGACTTCAAGAAAGCCGATTTCTGGAAGCCAGATAGGGCAGAGAGGCACACGCAGGGAGCTTCAACCCTGAGAAACCCCTTCACCCTGGCGCTGAGCCCGAATTCCCCGAGCAATCCCTTCGTGGAGAAGCCCCCAGCCCCTGTCCCTGTCCAAGCCGTGCTGCCCGAAAAGCTCGATCAGGGCGACTTCAGCTTCCGCAGCCTGCAGGAGGAGGCCCCCGGGCACGGCTTGCAGCCCACTAACGCTACCCCCCTGCATGTCAGCCAGCCCCTGGCCTTCTCCACCCCTTTCCCCGTGGCTGCCACTAACCCCGAGCCGTGTGGCCCCCCCCGGCCCCCCGCGGGGGTCCCCGCCAGCCGCGCCGCAGCCCGCCCGCGCCCGCAGCCCGGGGAAGCTTCGGCGCTCCTGGTTGTGCCCAGGGAGACGCGGCCGGCTGAGAAGCCCCTTGGCCAGCAGACCACCAGGTGAGCACTGCGGGGAAGGCGAAGGGCGTGTGTGTGTGTGGGGGAGAGGTGAGCCCCGGCCCCTTCTGCTCCTGGCCCCTCTGCTCCCGGCAGGGCTGGCTCCAAGGAGGCTGCTCCACGCGGTGCTGCAGCTCCTGTTCCCTCAGCTTCCCCTGGGCCCAGAGAGCCCAGCCCGAGCTGCTGGGAGCCTTGGCTCTCTGGGGTGCTGAGGGGAGTAGCCACTGGTGCCCAGTGTGGCCAGGGCAAAGGGTTCCATGCACCCACGACCTGCCCCCAGCTGGAAATTCAGAGCTGCACCCACATTGCACCCAGTGCTGATGTTGGCTCCATCATCCCCCCGTGCTTGCAGAAGAAATGCCTTTTCCATGCCTGCCAGGAGAGCTTGTGGCTGTTTGTGCTCTCCTGAGCTCCCTCATGGCATGTGCACAGCTGCTGCCCCTGCCCTCGCCATCCATCCAGCTTTGGCTGCTTTCCTCTCAAGTGCCCATTGGGTACTGAAAACCTTCTCTCCATAGCCAAAAAAAGTTTTTCCACCAGGGCAAAATGCCCCTCTGCCCTCCCTCCTGCCGAGATGCCCATTGGTGATGAAGCACGTGGGATTTAGCCTTGAGGCTGATGGGAATGGGAAGGGTGGAAAGAAGGGGCTGTTCCTCCTCCCAGGTCAATCCTGGGTCTGTACAAATGCCACAAAGCAAAGCTGGTGAGTTCAGGGCATGGAGTCCTGCTCTGTGTCCTTCAGTTCATCTCCTTTTCCTGATACTCCTTCCCGTGGCCTGCCTGGGCTCTGCCTGCCCAGGGAATTTATTGATCAGCCTCGCTCATGATGAGGCAAATGGAGCTTCCTGGGGGCACCAAAATGGTAAAATCCCACCTGCCCCAAGAGCAAGACTGGTTGTGGCTCTGGGGAGAGGAAGAGGGGAGGATGGGGCCAGCAGAACTCACTGAGCTCCAGTCCTTGCACCAGGGGATCCCTCCCTGGGTTGAGCATGAGGTGCAAAGTGATCTCGGGAGCAAAGACAGCGTCTGGCTGGGTCTGTCAGATGATATTTTGTCTTCTTACCTAAGCCAGATCCTCCAATCATTTTTAATTGGATTATTCGTCCACCAGCAGATAGCCTTCTTCAAAATTTGCGGGGCTGCTGCCCAGAAACATGGATTTTGTTATGTTTCATGGAAAGAGAAGTGTCCTGTGATCCCAGAGGGATAACTGGGGCAGTGAGGGAAGTACAGGAGTCTGTGTTGGTAGAACCTGCTCATGGCTGTGCATGCAGCCAGGCCTGGCTGGCTCCTGGGATGGAATGGGCTGGGACCCAAGAGCTGATATCCTGGGTATCAGTGCTGCCTTCTGTCGTGACACGTGGCCAGGAGCTCCTGAACTTCCCTGCTCGGGTTCCTCCAGCACATTTTGGATAATGCTGTGACTGAGGAACCTCTGAAGAGCTCCTGAGGCCTCTGGGAAGGCTCTGAACTGCTTTATAGGACTGGGGAGATGTGAGAACTGTCCCAGGGTGAGGGAGGAAGGCTGGAAGGGATCTTTTCCCAATCCCCATGGCCATGCTTCCCTTCCCAGGATCATCTCCTGTTGGAATGGGCAGAGGGACACAGATGAGGGCAAGATGGTAGAAAAAAGGTAGGAGGGAAAAGGAAATCCTTCAGACTTGGAATGGGCATGAAGTGCTGGCTGGAACAAAAGGGTCTGCAGGTGAAGGGGAGAGGGTACCTGCTGTGGGATGTGAGAGTTTGGGGTGAGGGGCTTCAGTGCCTCCTCCAGAGAGCTGGAAACTGGGAGCGGGGTCCCATGGCCCTTCCCACGTGGCCAGGGGCTCTTTGGTCATCCTGTGTGGCTGCTGGGGCAAGGGAGCATCAGCTGCAGCCCCCGGTGTGTGCAGGGCCCTTTGCTGCTCCTGGGGATGGGGCAGGGTGGTGCCTGCACTGCTGGGGACAGCTCACATCCCTGGGGACAGGAGGGACCCCAGGGACAGCCTGGGACCGTGCCTTGGGAGCTCCACTGCCTGCAGTATTGTGCAGCTCCTGCTGCTTTGGGATCCAGCAGCTGTGCAGCTCCTGCTCCCTTGGCTGTGGGGCTGGCCCAGCATCTTGTGGCACTTGCAGGTGACAGGGCTGGGGTGTCACAGGTGCCGAGGTGGTGGCACAGGCTGTGCCTCCCTCGTGTCAAGAGTGCAGAGAATGCTGTGTTCTGAAAATGGTGTCAGGTTGTGTCAGCTCACCTTGGTGATCCTCGTGGCCCTGGAGCTGGGAGCGTGGCTTGGCCCACCCAGGGCCAGGCCTGGAGAGCTGATCCCGAGCCCAGCCATTCCCCTCCTCCTCTAGACCCTTGCTCCATGGAGGGCTGGCCCTTGGCTGCTCTGTGGTGCTCCAGGCACAGCAGCTGGGCCATGGGAGAGGGATTCCCTTGGATTCCTTCTCTGTGAGGAGCATTTTGATGAGCATTTCAAGGCTCCCTTTGGGAGCTGCTGAGGGAAATGCAGCTGGCTTTTCCCTGTGCTCTGCAGTGACTTTGGGAGCACCAGGGAAAGCTGGGACAGGGCAAGGCTGGCTCAGAGAGGGGGACAGGGCTGGGCCAGTGTCACCCTGAGATGTTCCACCTTGGCCCTAAGCTCCATCATAACTCAGATCCACTTGGGATGCAGTTCTGGATTAGGAGCCAGTGAGCAAGGTGACAGTGACATTTGGGGCTCAGCCTGGCTGTGATGAGCAGCCCTGGTGGCTCTCCCACCCCTCTGTCCTGCAGTGTCCTGGTGCTTGTAGCTCCTGGTCAGGGTTCAGTCCCAGTAGGGCAGTGCTGGAGCCTCATGTGCAGAGCAGCAACTCCTCCACCCCTGGCACTGTCAGTGGCTCCCCCTTAGGGCTGTGGGATCCTTCTCCATCCTTTCCAGCTGCCCAGGAGTGCTGGGCTCTGTCCTTGTGCTTGGACAGCTCTGCCAAGGGATCAGAGAATCACAGAGTGTGCTGAGCTGGGAGAGACCCACCAGAGTCATCCATCCAGCCCTGTCCCTGCTCAGACACCCCAAAATCCCACCCTGGGCATCCCTGGAGCAGTGTCCCAATGCTCCTGGAGCTCTGGCAGCCTCGGGGCTGTACCCATTCCCTGGGCAGCCTGGGCAGTGCCAGCACCCTCTGGGGAAGAACCTTTCCTGATCTCAGCCTGAGCTGCCCTGGCACAGCTCCAGCGTTCCCTGTTCCTGTCCCTGGGCACCAGAGGGAGGAGATCAGAGCTGCCCCTGTGCTGTTCCTCGGGAGGAGCTGATCCTTTGGCTTGCTGGAGCAGGTTGTGGCTGCCAGTGCTGTCCCCTCCCAGCACAGGGACAGCAGGAGGTGTCATCGTGGTTGAAGAGGATTTCCAGGTCCTTGGTATGTCCTGATCCCATCACCATGCACGAGGACACGGCATGGCTGGGATACACAGCTGGTGGGGTTGTCACCTGTGAGAGGCTTTGCAGAGCTCCCAGGTGGAGGTTTGGATGTTTCCATCCCAGTGGATGGAGGTTTGGATGTTTCCATCCTGATAGATGGAGGTTTGGACGTTTCCATCCCAATGGATGAAGTTTGGATGTTTCCATCCCAGTGGATGGATGTTTGGATGTTTCCATCCCAATGGATGGAGGTTTGGATGTTTCCATCCCAGTGGATGGATGTTTGGATGTTTCCATCCCCATGGATGGAGGTTTGGATGTTTCCATCCCCATGGATGGATGTTTGGATGTTTCCATCCCCGTGGATGGAGGTTTCGATGTTTCCATCCTCGTGGATGGATGTTTGGATGTTTCCATCTCCATGGATGGAGGTTTGGATGTTTCCATCCCAGTGGATGGACGTTTGGATGTTTCCATCCCAATGGATGGATGTTTGGATGTTTCCATCCCAGTGGATGGATGTTGGGATGTTTCCATCCCAGTGGACAGATATTTGGGTGTTTCCATCCCAAGGATGGTGCACAGCTGTGCCTGCTCCTTGCAGGGAGGGAGCATCAGGTCACTTCTCTTTCCATCACTCTGAGAAGGAACTGGACTTTGTTCAAACCCAGAAAGAATCTTTTGGGTGAAGAGTGAGACAAAAATAAATGAAAATCTAATTCCTCCTTAACTGACTCCTCACCCTCCTTTTGGCCTCGTGGAGGGGACAAATTCTGTGGTGGCTTTCAGGCAGGTGACATTGAACTCTTGGGCAGGAGCACCAGTGGTGACCCCAGAGTAATCTGGGGGTCCCTGGGCAGCAAAAAGCTGCTCTGGGCAGTGGGTGCAGCAGGCTCTGATCACACTGGAGCTGCCTTTGAACCCCTGGCAGCCGGGAGTTGTGACCCACAGCGTTCCCAGTGAGGATGGGCACTGCAGCACCAGCACCTCAAACTGGGTGTGCTGGGGCTCCTTATCTCCTGTCTGGGTGGGAGCAGCTCCACGGGCCCTGCCCTGCCCTGCTGGCTCTCCTCGGAGCACGAGAGCTGTGGGAGGCACAGACACCTGGGTTCAGCTGCTCCTCAGCCTCCTGGGGTGCCAGCGAGGGGGAGCACGGGGGGTGCTGACTGTGCCACCCTTGTTGCCCGCAGCCCCCACCCCGTGAAGCCCCTGAGTGCTGTGCAGGAGGGCTCCAGCGAGAGGAAGCAGCAGCAGCACAGGGCCAGCCTGAGCTCGGCGCTGAGCAATGGCCTGGAGAGGCTGAAGACAGTGACCACGAGCAGCGTGCAGCCCCTGGCCCCCTCCCAGCCGGACAAAACCGAGCCCAAGTTAAAGGTAGGAGGCTGTGCCACACCTGCTGCAGCTGTGCTGCTGGCAGGGGCAGGGAGCTGCCCTGGGGGGAGGCAGAGCAGGGCCTGCCGTGGGGTGGGTGAGGGTGCAGGCCTTGGGCTGCTCTGCCTCTCTTCTGCCATGGGTTCTGCACCTCCTCACCCCGTCGTTCTCCTGTCTCCTGCTTTGCCTTGGGGGTGGTGTTGTCCAGTGTGTGAGTGAATCCCTGTAGAAATGTGGAATGGGTTGGGGTGGAAGGGACTTTAAATCCCATCCAGAGCCACCCCTGCCATGGGCAGGGACACCTCCCACTGTCCCAGGGTGCTCCAAGCCCCAGTGTCCAACCTGGTCTCCACAAGGTATGGAAGGTGGAAGGTGTAGTAGCTGCCTGACTGATGTCCTGAAGGGTTCCTCATCCTGGCAGGGGGAAGGTTCTTCCTGGAGCTTTGCTGACTGGATATACTCCAAACACTGCTGTGCTGGGGCCAGCAAAGCACCTGTGACACCTCTGAGGACCAGAGGGTGTTCTGAGGCTGACCCCTCCATCCCTTTGTCCGCTCCCATTCCGTTTGCCTCCCCGGTGTCGCATGGAAAACGCTGCTGGGGTTCACCTGATTGAAGGACAAGCACAACCCTGTGGGTCTCAGAAGCCCTGCGGGTGCTGCAGGGAGCTCAGCTGGTGCTTTATGAGCACACGAGGTCTCTGTGGGTCCCCTGTGCTGCTCCTGCCTCTCCAGTGTGGAAAGACAGACATGGAGAGCAGGAGTGCTCCGGCTGTCGCTGCATCCTGCAAACGTTGCCAGGAGCAGTCCCTGAATGTCCCTCTTGCTTCCCAGCAGGAGCCTGCCCAGCTGGACCAGTCAGCCAAGTATTACCACCTGACCCACGACGAGCTGATCCAGCTGCTGCTGCAGAGGGAGGGCGAGCTGAGCAAGAAGGAGGAGCACATCCAGGAGCTGGAGAACTACATTGACCAGCTGCTGGTGCGCATCATGGAGCAGTCCCCCACGCTGCTGCAGATCCCCCTGGGCGGGGGCCAGGCCCCGTGAGCCTGCCCGGGGCAGCAGCACCCAGCAGAGCTGTGCCCCCCTAACACGCTGCCAACGCCCCCCACCCCCTCCTCTCACCCGAGGCCTCCAGGGGCTTCTGTTCCCAGAGTCAGCAGGAAGGGTTACCTGCTCCTTGCCAGCCCAAGCTTAGCCCAGCTCGGCTCCAGGGAGCTGTAGGGTGGTGGGCTGCCAGCACCCTATGGGGAGGAGCAGAGTCATCGCTGTGACCGAGTGCCATCCCCCGGGCACTCCTCCTGCCAGAGCTTTAAGTGACCCCTGGACATCTGAGAGCTGGAAACCATCTCCTCATGACTTCATCCTGCTGCTGCTCCTCTGCACACACTCCTCCTCTCCCTCTGTCCCCTGAGGGTGGTGTCCCCTGCCTGCTGGGTGCTGTTGGGTGACACTGGGGACACTGAGACCCAGTGAGGCTCCCCCAGCACGTTCCTGACCAGAGCCTGTGGGACGCCCCTTCCCCTCCTGCCCCAGTTACCCCCAGTGAAGGGTGAAGAGCCAACTCCAGTTTGTGCCACTCCCTCACCACGCTTGTGGGAGATGCTCCACAAAGGGACAGCACCAGGCCTGGGCTGGTGTCAGAGCCTGGCTGGGCCACGCTGGCTCTGTCACAGCACCAGTGCCAGGGTGACACTGCCTGGACTGGGAATATGGCAAAGGGAACGTGGGCTGGTGTCCCAGGAGTGCTGCAGGAGCTCCTCTGCACACCCCCACCCAGCAGGGGCTGCTGTGCCCTGGAGGGACCGAGGAGTGCAGAATCCACACTGAATTTCAACTCAGTATTCCAAGGAATGCCTGCTCACAGCTGCACCGCCCTGCCTGTGCCTCATCTGTCCAGCACAGCCAGAAAATGCCCCAGAGCAAGGCCTGGGGGGTCTGACCCCTCTGCAGGCCCCTGTGGGGTCAGGCACCCCAAACCCTCCTGGCACAGCCCAGAATTCCCAAATCCTGGCAGGGCAGTGCCCAGCCTGCTCCCCTGATGGCATCCACACGCTGGGACCAGCTCTCCAGGGCAGTGCCCAGCCTCAGGGACAGCTCTGTCCACTGCTGACCCCTGAGTGGCCTCCCAAAGATGTAGCAGCTTGAGACCACAACTCTTTTCTTTGTTCCAATTGTAAACTTGTCTGTTGCAATTTTCATCAAATTCAGTATATCGTTTCTTCTGGTGTGCCAATTTCCCTTTTTGTTTCCAATTTTGAAGTAAAGGAGTGTTTGGGATGAGGGTAGTAAGCTGGCCAAGGCTACAGGGACCCCCTTGATCCCATACTCAGTCTCCACAGATAAGAAGCACTCCCTGGGCAGCACTTTGGGATGGAGTGAGGATGAAGAAAGTGTAGGACTGGTGTAATTGCACCAATTTGGAGGGGTATATTTTTTGTTAAATGGGGTTATATCTTTCCTATGGGTAGACCTAACAAGTTCAAGGTGGGTCAGGTGTTGGTTGGGAGGTTGATATTGAAGTTGGACACAGGAATGAGCTTTGGAGGACCCCAAAAGCTGTAATTCCTGGGGTTCCTCTGGTGCTCGAGGCAGGGTCTTGGTCCACCCATCCCGAGTGTCTACTGGATTGGGTTTCTTACCTGTGTATGGGAATTCATTTGCTGCTAAGGAATCCCTACAGGCACGTTGACAGCAGGTTGTCCACGCTGCCCATGGACAGGCAGAGACTTTCCTGCTGTAAGTCTTGGCCAGTGTGACCCACATGTTCTGGCTGGGCTGAGGGACAATCCATGCACCAGCTGATGGAAAGGTGAGCAGCATCCAAAATCCTGTCTGGAACAGTTGGGGATTCCCTGCCACCAGAGACGTGGCAGGATGCTTGGGGGTGAGTTGATCTGGGAGTTTGAAAAAATGGATTTTTAGATTTATATGACTTTAACAGCCCCTCATAGCTCCCCATCTTTTCCCCTCCATTTTTACTGAGTAGAAAAGGGGAGGGAAAACAAGAGGGGATGACAGTAAAACCAACTAAAGAGGGGTAGCAGTGCAAAACAGCGAGCGAATGAAACTCAGCAGAGAGTCTTGTCATCTTCTGGAGCAGTGCAGAGTCATTTTTGTGTTTACAGTCTTTTTCCTTCTCTCCTCCTGAGCTTGGTCTCTTTGCTGTCTCTGAGGTCCAGGAGGAGTGGCTCTGGATGCTGCATCATGTGGCAGTTTGATGTTCAGCTTGACATTCCTGCCTGGAATCCACCTTGGGCCAGATCCTCTAGATATGCAAGCATAGTCTCTCCCCCAAGTAATTAATTTAAATGGCCCATTATTTGTTTGGATTCAGGGTCTTTGATCAGCACAGGGGTTTCTCTGTGAGCTGAGCTCTGTGCACGTTGGAAACGTGCCTGACAGTGAGGGGATTTGGCTCCATTAATGAATTATTAAGAAAATTGATGACATAAAGAGCCTTACATGATCTTTCTACATTCGGTAGTGTTTCAACTCCCCCGTGCTGCTGATCAAGGACTCTCTTGAGTGTACAGTGAGCCCTCTCTACAGCAGATTGCCCTGTTGGTGAGTGGGGAATGCCAGTGGTGTGTTTCACCCCCCATTGATCTGGCATCATTGAAACTTTTGGAGGTGTAAGCAGGACCATTATCTGCTTGGAGAATGCCTAGGGTGGAAAACGCTAGGAGGAAATGTTGGATGACAGCTTTTGTCTTTTCTCCTGCATGGGCTGATGCAAATACTGCTCCAGAGAACATATCTGTGGACACATGAATGTATTTTTGTCTTCCCAAAGGTGCATAATGTGTGACATCTGTTTGCCACAATTGTAAACTTTTGAGGCCTTGGGGGTTCACCCCGGCCCTCATGGAGACCAAAGCAAACTCCTGGCAATTGGGGCAGGGCCCACAGTTGCTCTTGCTTGTTCCCTTGTGATTTTAAACATCCAGACAAGGGCTGATGCATTTTGGTAAAAAAAAACTGATGGCTCAATTTAGCCTGATTACAAATGTCTGGAAGGGTGGTCTGCACTGCCATGGCTAAAATATCTGCCCTCCAGTTGCCTTCAGTGACTGGTCCTGGGAGGTCAGGGTGTGACCTCAGGTGCATAATGTGAGGTGGGAGAGGAAGTTTGTTAACTTTGAGAGCAAGCCTTATAAATCTGGATTTGGCACTTCCTTCAACAAGGAATGTTCTGCTCTTTCAGCTATCCCAGCAACATGGGCCGAATCAGTAGCTAAATTTAAGGGTTGTTTGAATTTCTCAAAGGCTCTGACAACGGCTGCTAATTCTGCAATTTGTGGGGATCCTCGAGCAATCTGAACATCAGACCCCCACTCCTGAGTGTCAGGATTCTTCCACCTCATAACTGACTTGTGGGATCCCCCTGAACCATCAGTGAATACAGTCTGTGCCTTTCGAGGAGCTCTACTTTTTCATGAATTTGGGACCAAATTAAAGCAAGCATTAAATAGTTCATGTTTTGGTAGGTGGATGGAGATTTGGCCTGGGTAGCTGTCCAGAGTGAACTGGAGGTGCTCCTTGGTTTGGAGCAAAGGTTCTAGGCTGTTTAATGTCACTGGAAGGTACATGGCTGTGAATTCACACCCTGCTAGGGTCCTGAGGGGAGCTCTGGCCTTTGTGGTAAGCTGGGCCATAAGCTCCTGAGGTGCTGTGATGGTCTTACTGGGTTTGTGTGATGGAAACACCCACTCTGTGATGAGGAGCTGATCTCTCAGAGTGGCATCCCGCTGGAAAAGGAGCCCATGGAACTTGGGTGACCTCCCCAGGGTGACAAACTGGAAAGGCAGGGTAGGAGCAGCGGTGGCCTTGTCTCGTGGACAGTGCCTCTGATACCTTCTGGATCACTGCACGGGCCTCCAGTGTGATGGTGCCTGGGGAGGCGAGGCCATCAGGGCCTCTCAGGAGGTTGAAAAGGGGTGACAAGTCCTCAGTCCTGATCCCTAGCAGTGGACAAACCCAGCTGATGCTCCCACACAGCTGATGAAGGCCCCTCAGGGTCCCTGGGTTGTCCTGGATGGTGAGCTGCTGGGGCACCGTGGTCCTTTCTCTGATTCAGAGTCCAAGGTAGGTCCACGGGCTGAATCTTCTCTGTAGCCGTTTCCAATCCTGCTCCTTCAATGGTTTGGACAGTTGGTTTGAGAACACCTCCAAGGAAGAGTCAGTCTCAGTGCATGTAAGGATATCATCCATGTAGTGAAGAATTTCGGCATCTGGGAACTTTTCCCCAATGGACGAGAGAATTGTGGGCAACAAACATCTGGCAAATGGCTCATGAGTCTTCATCCCTTGAGAAAGAACTTGCATTGACACCTTTTGAGAGGGGCTTGTCTATTCATTGATGGCACAGGAAATGCAAGTCTTGGGGCATCTCTAGGATGGAGTGGGAAATTAAAAAAACAATCCTTAATATCAGTGACTGCCAATTTCCAGTCTCAGGAGCATTGAAGGTGAGGGCAGGCCAGGCTGTAAAGAGCTCGTGTCTTCAGTGACCTCATTGACCTTTCTGAGGTCTTGCAGGAGCCTCCACTTGTCTTTGCCTGGTTTATGAATGACAAAGACAGGGGTGTTCAAGGGCTAGTGGATGGTACTCTGTGGCCCTTAGATTGCTGTTTCTGCACTAGGGATTCCAGCACCTTTGGTTTGACTTCTGCCCTGAAGTCTGAAGGGATTTCTAGTCTGCTTCCCCATTGTCCCTGCCCCACACAATGACAGGTGCCTTTACCACTAAAGGTCCCACCGTGGCAATTTGACCCTCAGGACCTTCAGTAAGGACTGACCTTTTACTCCACACAGAGGTGGCAGCTGCTCCAGTCCCAGAGATGCCTCCACTGGCTGGCACCAGTTCCCAGCCCTGTGCCCACTTGGAGTGAGCAATGGTGGTGACATCTGACCCGGTGTCAGCCACACCTGGAAGAGAAACTTTGGTACCTTTGTTAGACAAGCCACACTATAAGAGCTCTGCTTTGGCAGAGCATCTCTGCCCAAAAAAACAGAGGATTTTCTGGCAAAACATCAGCCCAGGTGGGTACAAGAAAAGTTTGGGTTCAGGTGTGCCCTTAGTCAGGCGCCTGGGTGGGTCTGTACCTATTACAGTCACAGTGACCTCATCCATTGGCCCCACAGTCTGGGCTTCTGGGAGCACCTGTAACTCATTAACGGTGTCTCCTGTGATTAAAACATCTCCTGGTCCATCAGGAGGTCCGGGTTTAGCAGCTGGAGTTCAGCAGATCACCTCCTCCTTGGATTCAGCAGAAAGGGCACTCACCAGCATTCTCTGTGTCCCTGCCTGGCCACATTGGTAGGCCTGGGAGAGTCAGCACCCTTCCTCATAGCTGCTGGTGTCACAGAGGGCTTCTCAGTGCCTTGATGCTCTGAGGTGGTGGGAAAAGAGGGACAAAACAGCCCAAAAGAAAGATCTTGCAGGAGTGTGGCTGAGTCAACCAGCCCTCAAGGTCTTGAGGGTCGTCAGTTGGCCCCTCAGAAATTCCCCAGAACATTGGGGTTTTTTCCCTCGGGGAACTGGAGCACTTGGCTGCAAATTAAAACCCAGGACTGGCCAGTGGAGACGCTGTCAAAGGGCTAAGGAGAAGCCCCACGGTCAGGGCACCAGCTTGGAGCAGTGTGGGGTTTAGAGGGTGGAAGCTGCTGCCTGATTCCCAAGAAGCATCTCCTGTGGAAAGGCTGCTTGGGTAGGAATTCAGGCAAGGCAGTCAAGTCCACTTTTTTGTTTGGGTTTTTGTGGGTTTTTAAAATTTTTTGTGTGTTTTTTGTTTGTTTTTTTTTTTTTTTTGGGGTTTTTTGGGTTTTTTTTGTTTTTTTTTTTTGTTTTTTTTTTTTGTGGGTTTTTTTTTTTTTGTTTTGTTTTGTTTTGTTTTTGTGGGGGTTTTTTTTTTGGTTGTTTTTTTTTCCCCTGCCAGATCCCATTTCTTCTAGAGTTGTGGCTGCTGGAGCCCAGCAGGCACAGAACAGCAGGGAGGGGTTTGTCCCCAAGCTCCTGGGGACATCTAGAGGGGCTGGCGGTGGCAGGACAGCCCTGTCCCCGCCGTGAGGGGCTGGAGGAGCCCCCCAGTCTGTGCAAAGGTGGGATGTGCTCCGTGTGGGGCTCCAGGAGCAGCAGGGAGCGGGGACAGCCCAGTTCCCGCTCTGTCCCTGTCGTCCCCACCGCGCTGGCTCAGCCGCTGGCTCAGCCGCTGGCG